CGCCATTTTCAAAAGGAAGTGCAAAAACGAAATACCGCGGTACACAAGGGCGTACCGGACCGTGCAGCGCGTACCGAACGGTCCGGTATTTTACCGAGTACCGTTGCATCCCTAGTAGATAGAGAGGTGTGGGTTCAGCACCCGTAGATAGAGAGGTGTGGGCTCAGCACCCGTAGATAGAGAAGTGTGGGTTCAGCACCCGTAGATAGAGAGGTGTGGGTTCAGCCCCCATAGATAGAGAGGTGTGGGCTCAGCACCCATAGATAGAGAGGTGTGGGCTCAGCACCCATAGATGGAGAGGTGTGGGCTCAGCACCTGTAGATGGAGAGGTGTGGGTTCAGCACCCGTAGATGGAGAGGTGTGGGTTCAGCACCCGTAGATAGAGAGGTGTGGGTTCAGCCCCCATAGATAGAGAGGTGTGGGCTCAGCACCCATAGATGGAGAGGTGTGGGTTCAGCCCCCATAGATAGAGAGGTGTGGGTTCAGCACCCGTAGATAGAGAGGTGTGGGCTCCTCACCCGTAGATAGAGAGGTGTGGGCTCAGCACCCGTAGATGGAGAGGTGTGGGTTCAGCACCCGTAGATGCATTCAGAAAATATCAGAGTTGATTATAATATCCTGGAATTTCAGGGGAAGTTGAATTTTATTCCCTTTTAACAATTTAAAAGATTCATTCACTTCATTCCGCTCATTAAAGCAAAACATAATTCCACTGTAACCTCCTGTATTAAAATGGATGAGAGAGGGATATAGGGCTCTCGAAGGAACAAACAGGCACGCTTAGGTTCACTCAAAAACACTTTAATAAGTAATACAAAATAACCTTGCATTAACATCAATACCAAGCTATCGTATCGAATGTAATGCAAGATAACCTCGTACTACAAGGGATATAAAATAGTATATATCATACGAACTAAAGTATATAGAAAAGAAATAATAAAATATAGACAAATTATTATCATTATATTATTATCATTATTATAATTAATCCCCATTAATCAATTAAACACATAAGCAGATGCAAAACTATTTACACTCGGACGTGCCATCATCACCCACCTTCACACACGGACTGGGGAGCCCTTTTCAGTCCTGGCAGGAGACCAACACGTGAGTCCCGAGAAAGTGCCGGGCGATGTGCGCTCTATCCCACGGCTGAGCTCCGGTCAGTGCTGGGATCTCCCCTTCCTTTATAGTAAATTTAGTGTTGCGTGCGGGAAGAGGTAAGCTGGCCAGTGATGCTGCTTGCGATAATACAGTAAGATAGGCGTCCTGGCACCAGGCGTCCTTGCGCAATGCCTCCCTGTTCCCCCCTAAAGGCAATATAGTGTGCTGTATACCGACCCCCCCACCCTATCTCCCGAAGCCAAGATAAGCATCCTGCATGCTGATCTAATGGCCCAGATTAGCATCCTGGCTTCTTTTTATGAGCCCAAGTTATTTATGGCAAAATTAGGTTTTACAGGGGATCGGTAAATAACATGTTCGTGCAGTTTAGTAACATTCGGGGTGAATCATGGACGATTGATATGAATTTCAGGACGATCAGTCCACACGTGATCGGAATTAATCCACAATTACAACTTTCTAGAATATTATAGTAAAGTTAATTCCATGTCACGTGGGTGACGTAATCGTCCGCGAATTCATCCCAATACACCTCCTGAGACCCCACACATTCATTTATGTCCATTGTAGTGGACATTTTGTTTTTGCATCTATCTTTTCACTGATGTAAGGAAACATATTTATTCCTGTTGTACACTAAAGAGGACATGCTGTGAAATTAAAAATAAAAATACATTTGAAAACATCTAAATTGTAAGATGTCTTATTTCCTCCAAAGACAGAAAATCTATAATTGAAGGACACTTTTTTCCTTGGGTCTCAGGAGGATATAACTAGTTAAAAGACATTAGCCATTTTAAAATTAAAAAAGGAAAAAAATGTACATTAATATTATATTATCAAAACAAAGTTAAACCAATGACTTTCTTTTCCTTTTCAAAGTGATGTTTTTTCAAAAAACATCAAATCTGAAGCAAGATCAAAGCCTATAGTGTCCATTATCAGCTGCAATAAACAAGACAAATTCAGGAAAATACCGAACATTAAAATCCGCACATATCAGTATCTGTCTTTGGAAAGAACTATTCAGATCCAAACTCTAGTACTGTAGTTCCTTCCTGCAATGACAGAAGTGATTTTTCATCATGAATCTGTATTGCATTTGACCAGGTAAATGGTGTTGCCCCTCCCACAGCCCATAGAAATCGGTCTCTGAAGAGCCTTTAGTCTATGATGTGAATTTTCTGACCTTCTGTGCTTCCTGTGATAGGCCCCATGTTTCCACAGATTGTTAGTGCGCAGTCACTGTGAATTTGCAGCAATGTTTTGTTCATTGGAAACGAAAATGCAGTTGCATATTTGCTTTGTTTTCAGTGCAGTTTGAGACAGACGGTCACCAATCAGTCTTCACGATCAAGGTCCGCCACGGCGTCACCCCGAGACTGTACAACCCCGGTCCCAAAGGAGGTAAACAGGCATGGATCACATGATCACACTGTGAACTGTCACTGGGCACCTTGGGCGGCCTGCAGTTCTGCTGCTTGCCATTAATCCCATAATACCCTCCCCCCCCCGGTTAATAGCATAACCCTCCCACTCTGGTATAACAGGAAATAATTGACTCCTATGATTTTTGTTTTTTGTTTGTTACAGAGATTTTTTCTTAAATTATAATCCCCTTTCCATACAAATTGTTTTCTTAATGTTTTGTGTAGAAATTAATATTTTCCTAATACAGATGAAATGATATGAAACTTTATTACAGTTATCAGTATTATCATGGTATTGTTAAAATGTACTGAAAATGTTCAAAAAGTAGGGAATCATTTCACCAAGTTGTATACTGAAAACCAACAATAAAATTTGTAGCACTATAAAGTTTATTTTTGAACAAATATTAAAATAATAACATAGCCACCATAAGTGCTGTCACTGTTTTCGGCCATGTTTTCACTGAGAGAAACCCACGGTTGTGAGTATAGGTCTGTGTATGTGTGGGTGCGCATGTGTGTATGTGTGCATGTGTGTATGTGTGAGCGGGTTTACCTATCCTTATGGGGACACAATGTCCCCATAACGTGATAAATATCCGGTTTTTTTTACATTTACATTTACATTTACAGCATTTGGCAGACGCCCTTAGCCAGAGCGACTTACATAAGTGCTTTAAGACTCTACAATGAATTTTTCCCGATACTAGCTGCCAGAAAGTATAATGCCAGAAGTGCTAATTCAGGTATTTCTGGAAAAGGTGTGTTTTAAGTAGTCTTTTGAAGACATTCAGTGACTCAGCTGTTCGGACACCGGGAGGTGTGTCTTCCTTGTGCCTTGAGGGGTGGTGGGACCAGTCGAGCAGTGCTGGAAGATCGGAGAGATCGTGGTGCAGTGCGGGGTGTGATGAGGTCTTTTAGGTAGGATGGAGCCAGATCATTTTTGGCTTTGTATGCGAGCATCGGTGTTTTGAATCTGATGCGGGCAGCCACAGGAAGCCAGTGTAGGGAGCGCAGCAAAGGAGTGGTGTGGGAGAACAAGGTTGAAAACAAGTCGAGCAGCTGCATTCTGAATCAGTTGGAGGGGACGAATGACGCTCAGTGGTAAACCCGCTAGGAGCTCGTTGCAGTAGTCAAGGCGGGAGATGACGAGGGACTGAACGAGTATCTGGGTAGCCTGTGTGGAAAGAAATCGACGTATCCTTCTGATATTAAACAGGATTAACCGACAAGAGCGGGAAACGTTGGCGATATGAGAGGAAAAGGACAGACAATTGTCCATGGTAACCCCAAAGTTGCGAGCAGTAACCGAAGGACGGATCAGGGAGTTGTCGAGGGAGATCGCAAGGTCCAGGAGGGGAGATGAGTCAGCGGGGATGTACAGCAATTCCGTTTTATTAGGGTTGAGTTTCAGTTGGTGAGCGGTCATCCAAGATGAGATATCAGCTAGACATGCAGATATCTTAGTGGAGACATGAGTGTCTGAAGGAGGGAAGGAGAGGATGAGTTGAGTGTCATCTGCATAGCAGTGGTATGAGAAGCCATGAGAGGATATGACCTCACCAAGAGATTTGGTATAGAGGGAGAACAGGAGTGGGCCAAGAACTGAGCCCTGAGGGACGCCAGTGAAGAGACTACGTGGGGTAGATGTGAGTCCTTTCCATGTCACTCTGTATGATCGGCCTTCGAGGTAGGATGCAAGCCATTGCCAAGCCAAACCACCAATGCCAAGACTCCTAAGGATGGATAGGAGAGTCTTGTGGTTAACCGTGTCAAATGCTGCTGATAGGTCTCCCGGTTTCCTGGTCCCCATAAGGGAAAACTCCATTTTATAAAAATCGGTGACTGCTATGAAAAAACTAAAAATGCAAAAACTCTTGTATTTTGTTAGATTACTTATGGTTATGGTTAGGGCAGGGTAGGGGTTAAGGTTATCATAGTTAGCTTTAGCATTTTTCCCATTGAAATGAATGAGCGGTCCCCATAAGGATATGTTTACCCTACATGTGCGTGTGAGAGAGCGAGACAGAGCCCTGTGTTGGACTGGCATCCTGTCTAAGGATGGAATATTTTCCTAATATCATTACGTTCTACACAGCAGTACACCAGTCTTTTTAATATTAGACACTTTTTTTTGTTTCTTTTTGCCCAGAATATAATATCAGTGCCCTGGTCACTATAGCAACCAAAACGTTCCTCCGCTATGACAAGCTGCAAGGTCTGATCGACAGCATACGCCGTTACTACCCAGACGTCACCATCGTGGTGGCAGATGACAGCGAGTATCCGAAGTCGGTGACCGGGCCCAACATTGAACATTACATCATGCCCTTCGGAAAGGTATGCCGACTCTATGGATGGCTCGGTGCTGCAGAGCATTGAAAACGGGGTCCACTTACGGTTGTTCTGGAAGGACCTTGTGCTATCTTTTGGACATTTTTGGCACCTAAAATTCCACACTTTCCACATATTGCTTGCCTCTGAAACAATGTAGTCAACAAAACTCACATTTTAGGCATTTGGAGTACAATTTTCTCTTACACTATAGTAATTCAATTAATCTTATGGAAGTAGTCAGTGTTGATTTCCTGTGCCTTCTCTAAAGGAATGCTCTCAGTAACATGTAATACAGAAATTCTGTCTCATGTCTCTCCTGAAGTGTATAAAATGAGCATGCAGTATATAGCAATAAAAGACTCAGTAATTATTCATAGAACCCTTGTATTGCAAAGGTTCCTCGTTCTGAAATTCCACACATATCAATGGGGCTGTTATGAATCGTGTGTCCTGGTCAGCAGAGATTGTCATAGTGTAGTGGGATTATAACCCAGAGGTTGGTAATAGTACAGACCTTTGGGTGGTGGTCTGCCTTGGAGCTCAGTGTTGGTCAAACAGAGAAATATGAAACTCCAAGTTTCATATAGCCTAAAAATACAGTAAGCATGGGAAACTCACCAATTTTTTAACCAGCCTTCATGCACATGGGATCCAATTTATCCCTTCATCATTTGAACACCTGATAACTAATAGAGGTTGTGCTCCTTCCTACAAAAGACAAGGTCACCTTGCCAAGACCCCTGTTCTGTGCAGAACATATGGTTGCATGGATGAGAATGTTTTCCAAAAATATCCCGTTGGCATTAGAATGGGTTCTTTCCTCACAGATCCTCTTTTCTGTCACAGGGTTGGTTTGCAGGAAGGAATCTGGCTGTGTCCCAAGTTACCACAAAATACGTCTTGTGGGTAGATGATGACTTCATCTTCACGGCCAACACGAAGCTGGAGAAGCTGGTGGATGTGCTGGAGAGCACCACGCTAGACCTGGTGAGGAGCAGCAGATGGGTCTAGGTCGACAAGTCGGCTTCAGAGGAAGCTGAAAGAGCCTCTTGCCAGTTTAATAGCTTCTAAGACATATTTTTCATGAGGATGTGGATTCCTGCAAGAAGGTGGCAACCACAAGTTCTAGAAGGATTTCTTAAGGATGCAACTGCACACTTTTGGCTGAAAGTATCAGCTAAGTTCAGAGATATTCGTTACAACCTATTTGTGTATAATCGGTATCTAAACCATCGGCTTAGGTTCAACCAAGGCAGTATTTCCGGTTCACTTCTCATTCTGCTTGGTTACACCCAGCTGTGGGTTGCGCAACTCTTGCAGAAGCAGTGAAGTCATATGCAGGAAACACTGCGCAACAGAATTCAGATCAGAACCCGTGTGGCTGATCCATGTGTGTCTAGTCTAGAAGGTCTGGCCCACTGACCCTCGGTCAAGCCTGTTGGCGCTCGAATGGCACACATTTACGCAGCTTTGGTTGTGTTCAGTTGGTAAGTGATGGCTATCTGTGTACTCAGGTGGGCGGGGCAGTACGGGAGGCCACGGGCTACACTGCCACATACCGACACACCATCTCCATCGAGGCGGGGGAGGAAGACGGGGACTGCCTGCACATGAGACGGGGCTTCCACCACGTGGTCCAGGGCTTCCCCAACTGCGTCATCACCGATGGCGTCATCAACTTCTTCTTGGCCCGCACCGACAAGGTCCAGCAAGTGGGTTTCGACCCCCGTCTCGCACGGGTCGCTCACCTGGGTAAGTGATCATGTCACGGGGGGGGGGGGGGGGTCTGCCAGGATGGTTCTTTCTCCCCTTTCGTCTCCTTTACTCACCCAACCCAAGAATGACTGTCCTGCCTTCAATTCAGGCTCTCAGTCTTATGAAACCAAGCAACATCAGAATCAAAAAAATTGTCACTATCAGGAATTACTCATATATTAAGTCTGTATGTGGTGATATAAGGCATCACAGTGGCTCACACATCCAAGGTTGGGGTTTTTGTGTGTGGAGTGGCATGTTCTCCTCGTATCATGTGGGCAGTCTAATGCCATGCAGCTAACATGGCTGACATAAGCTAAATGGCATGTTTAAATTGCCCATAGTATATAATTGTGTGTGCTCTGTGATGGACTGGCAGAATGTACCCCTTAAGCTGCCGGGGATGGGCTCAAGCCCAAACCATACACACTCAAAATAAAGATTTCATTATAACATGAAATCCTGACCCCATGACCCTGCTAAAGGGTTGACAGATGGATGGACATAGTAGTTCAGCATAGCTGTTTAAAGGGTTCTCGATGACAACTGCAGAGGCGTCTCTCAGAGTGCACACTCACACCCCAGCACTGCCTTTGGTTTGTCCCTCAGAGTTTTTCATCGATGGCTTGGGCTCCTTTCACGTCGGATCCTGCGATGATGTCATCGTCAGCCACGCCACCAAGATCAAGCTGCCCTGGCAGGAGTCGGACAGTGACAAGACCTATGCCAAGTTCCGCTACCCGTCCGCCTCCTCGGATGCCAGCCACACCAAGAACGGCCTGCTCTACTTCAAGAACAGGTTCCAGTGCCTGACCCATAACTGAGCCTTCTCCATGTTCTGCCTCCTTCACATCCGTCGCCTGGATTTCCAGAAGCGCCCTCAGGAGAAAAAGCCAAATCCTCCTGTATTCTTTTGGCCGGATATTTCCCTCAGTTTCCTGTACTTCCTGTAGTTGGATGCCCCTCATCCGCCTACCCACAACTACACCTTGGTGCCAAACTTATTGCTGTAAAAACCAGTGTTACATCTGCACAATTTGGCCTTGATCTGGAGCGACTGCTGGGTGTGACTCCAGCTCAGATCTCCAGTTTAACCTGGATGCCCACAGTTTGGATCTAAAAGAAAAAAAATATCAGTGCAGATTTTAAGTTTGAATCTGAATTAAGGTTAAAAAGTTCTGCAGCTTCCAAAGACATCTACCACTGCAGCCAGTGTTAGGAACGATCATAATGTTTTGAATACTCCTTGAATGAGAAGCTGGAAGTCAGATCACTATATGGAAACATAGCCTGTGATCAGCTGTTATCATCACACCTGTTTAATTTTGCACCTGTGTGGCCGCAGAAATTCATTTTAATTCAGTTTAATATCCCCCAAAAGCCTACAGGTAATCATATCACAGTTGTTTTTAAAATCCTCCTTTTACAAAAGCTGTATTAAAGATTATGCTCCTGACATGAATAGGTTGTTAATTTTAAAATGCGCATGGATCTACCCATATAAGAATTGAAATATGAGTTTTGCTAGATTTTAGTTTGATTGCATTCTCCATTTCAGCTGATATCGGATCCAAATCCTGCTCCTGTATTGAATTCTTTTTGGCAGCAGTTCTGAGCTCAGTTCAGAACTGCACTCCGGCCCACCTGAACTGAAAGGCCAGGTTCAACCCATGTGAGACGAACAGGAGTTTAAAGGACACGCTGTGTCACGGGTGTGTGGACCTGCGTCTGGAGTAGCTTCCCACTGTGTGACTTAAGAGGAGAGCTTGACTGAGATTCTTCATTTGCAACAGGCTTGACCAAAGTGTGCAGGCTGCTTCTGGGATTTCCATCCAAAAGTGTGTGATGCAGTGGGTATGGTCATAACCCAAAGCTGACACTGAAAATCTGGCCTACTTTGGCCACATGCCATCTGCCCCAGATAAGGCCGGTTATAGGCGTGCCATTCATCTGTTATGTTGAGCTTTGCGTTTTTTTGTTTTGTTTTTACATTTTTTTACTTTCTCCAGCAAGGATGGGTGACTTTACTTTTTGGAAAACGGTTTTCCTCCCTTTCCCATCGTCATACTCGTTTTTGCGGAAATGATCATGACGTTCACGGTGTGATGTTGTTCCTGACTGTCACCACTAGATGGCGGCCTGGCATCACGATTTTTTTAAAGGACCAACGTTGTCGAAAGTGCTGAAGTTTTGGAATGATAAAGAAATAATGAAAATCGGAATTAAAATAATGACATTAATTAATAGCTGAATGAATGAATTGTATCATGTAGTGTATGTTCTCTGTGAGGACGAAGAGAGTTCTTTGCTCTTTTCTCTCCACTGTGTTGTTAATCTTTTTAATGAGTATTTTTCTGCACAAAGTCACTGGATATGTTACCAAAGGTTGACATTTTCTCTGAGGCACCGGTATCATGTCATGTGCACATGCGAATGTGTTAGGTACACCTTACACAGCCTACAGTACTATTATGATTTATTTGTGTGTGTGTGTGTGTTTTGGTTCTACTGTAACTCCTCATGCAACCTTGAAATTACAAGAGATCAGCACAGTCTGTCTCGATTCCAATGTTAGAATTTGATTCAGATTTAGGAGGACAATTCTGGATTCAGAGTAGAATCCAAGACAGTCACTTAGTAACTTATCCAGTGGGATGTCAGAACAAATATACATGATTGCTATTCAGAATGTTTTACATATGGGTCACGCCAGCCCTCAGAGTCGTTTTTCTACATGCCACATGACAGCTGGTGAAGAGACTTATGCTGTTAAAGACTTTTTGCTTCGTAGTAACCAAGAATGCAAAAGTTCTGGTTAAAAATCTTGAAGAACATGCTTTAAGAACATAAAGTAGAGCTGAAACATAAATGAACGTGGTACAGAGAAAAGGAATAAAGTTCATTTTCATCGGGCTGTGTGGGAGAATGCAGTAAATAATGGCAGAGTGAAAAGAGGACATGCGCAGGTGTGTGAGTGGCGCCCGGTACTGCTGTTCCGGAGGTACTGCCCTGGGTAAACATATAGGTGATTGCTGGCAGCCAGCTGGGATGGCCCAGCCCGTGAGGTCATTCCACCACTGAAAGGCTAGGCTGAGTTCGCTCACTATTCTCTATATAGGGAAATCTATGTAGTTCACTATATAGGGAATTAGTGAAAAAAGACGACAATTTCGGACACCACATTCCTATTGCGAATAGTAAACTACAGCGTCAGCATCAACAGAATAAAGCAGATAAAGTGAAAATGGATGTGTAAGCCTGTGATTTATTTAAAACTGAAATGTTTTTTCATATTTGTCCATTTCAGTTGCATCAAGTACACTTTTCATATTGGCCTAACAAAAAATAATGCTTTAAATAACTAAATACACTTCACTAATAACTATACATTCATGCACATGCACAATCATGCACATTTATTCATTTATAGTTGTGTTTGGCCTTACAAGCTGCATATCAAGACCTTTGGCAGAGTATTGTAATTATTTATGTTTAATTTGCTTATATTTGTATACAAAACTGACCTCTACCACATAGAGCATGATGTACATTGTCTGTCTGCAGCATTTTGCAGGCCATTTTGTGTACCTGTGAGTCAGATTTCCTGTTGAGAAATCAAATGGCACTACAAAATGGCAGACACACTATATAGCGCACTATATCTATAACAGGGAGTGACTCTGAACACACCCCTAGATGAAGAGAGGGAGCAGGTAGAAGAACAGGAGGGGCCAATTGTATTAGGAAGTTCCAGTCATATGACAGGAAGTTGTGTATTGATTCCAACCATGAGAATTGGAAGTCTGCCCAGTGATGTGAGGACTGTGTGCTGTTTTCACTCTTCCATATTAAAGTTAAAATAATAATAAATATGGGTGAGAGGAGCTCCTAAACACTATAGTGCCTGTGTGGGGATGTGCCGGCCAGGGTGCCCTAAACACTATAGTGCCTGTGTGGGGATGTGCCGGCCAGGGTGCCCTAAACCCTATAGTGCCTGTGTGGGGATGTGCCGTCAGGGTGTCCTAATGGCACAGGCAGACCAAGGTGGCACTTCCTGTGGAATGTGTGGAACCAGGAGGGTGGAGACATACTGGCCAAAACCTCAAGGCACCGACAGATCCCTGCCTGGGGCCATGGGTGTCTGAGCTGGTTTACTGACATGGGCTATTTTCTGTGTTTCCTGTACTTTCCTTTTTCCCCAATTAGCAGATCACGCTGTGAGCTTTAAAAAGGGCGTCTCGGAGGAAATGTTACCAAGAGATCTCTATGAAACACACATTAAGAAAATTAATAATATGCGCACATAATATCAGACTAGCGATTCATGTATGTGGTGATTATGCTTCTGGTGTCTTTTTTTTCCATGTGTAAAATGAATTTACACAAATTTTTTCAGGTCAAGGTATAGTAGCATTGCCCTGGGAACAAGCCCGATCACAGTGCTGAAATTTGAGAGAAAGTACCAGATGTCAGAGTTAGCACAGCTATCCGTCAGCAATGGGAAGGATGGCATTCGCATACACACGTGGGTAAAAAAGAATGTTTCTGGTCCTCATGCATATACAGCTCTGGAAAAAAGTAAGAGACCACAGCAAAAAAAATAAATCACTCATTTCACAATTTGTGGATATGCGCCTGTATCAAATA